ACTGGGTTCATCGAACCCGAGCTGGGTTCAGTGGAACCCAGTTGTTGGGTTCCTCGAACCCAGCTCGAACCCGGTCATCGAATCCGAGTTGGGTTCGGTGGAACCCAGCAACTGGGTTCCACCGAACCCAGCTGATCTTGGTTCACCGAACCCAGCAAACTGGGTTCCACCGAACCCAGATCTGCTAGGTTTGACGGAACCCAGCAACTGGGTTCGATGGAACCCAATTGCTGGGTTCCTCGAACCCGGTCATCGAACCTGAGCTGGGTTCGGTGGAACCCAGTTGCTGGGTTCCTCGAACCCAACTGATCTGGGTTCGGTGGAACCCAGCAAACATAGAGGAAGAAAGAAAAAGAAAAAGAAGAAAGGAAGAAGATGATCGAAAGAGGGGAGGGGAAGAAGATGGATTAAAAAAGGGAGATGGGTAAATTTTTAATTTTCTATTTTTTTATTAAGGCAAAATCGGTTGATGAGTTAGTGATGAGTTGGCAATAATGTGGCTTAAAAAAAATTCCAGATCAACGTTTTTTTAAATTATTTTTGCCATGTCATCAAAAAAATTATAAAAAATGCCACGTGTCGTAATTAACAGTATAAATTGACAAAAGGACTAACGGTGTGCATTTCTTAGAGTTGAGGGATCAAAAAAGTGCAAAAAATTATTAAGGGACCAAAAATGTGCAACTCACTAAAGTTGAGGGACCAAATTTAACATTTAACCTAGTTTTAAAATAAGCAAATAGAGGGAAACAAAATAATAATTTTGTTCCTTCATGAGATGGTTCAATTGGTTAGAAATCTAAGATTTTAAGTTAGAAATTTTAAATTAAAATCATGAGTCAAGTGAAGAAAATTTTAAGAAAATGGGAGCACTTTTTCTTTTTGTATATCCCATTATCAGATATATTAAAAAAAAACAACAGTAATTTTGTCGATGAAAAAAATAGGGACTAATTTTGATGTTTTGTCCTAATAGGGAGGGACTCATATGAAAAACAAAAATTACTATAATCATCTTGTGGTCCTCAAGCTAAAAACATCACTTTCACTTTAAGCTTGGTGGATGGAGTAATGTGTTCTAATCTGCCATAAGAATAAAGGCATAAAGGGTAAAGACTTCACAGACACAACCTGGTGGGCTTTGTGAGGAGGATGAGATCACTTGCTTTCTTCTTAGGATTTTGTCTAACTTATTAGAGTCACTCATTTAACATAAACCTAAAAAGGTCCATAATATCACTTGCACACGGATCTCATTGTCAGTTTCTCTTCACTTCATTTGTTGATTGCGTGTCCATTATTACATCATCAAACTCTAAGCTATAGAAAGAGTTTATTCAAAA